TGAAGTTTTCAATAATCTGGAGTATAATTTCATTGAAATATTAGTACACACATACAACAAAATAATACATCCAAAATATGTTAGGAGAAATTATAATCAAAACAATAATATTTGGCAATCACAAAAAATATACATGTTGCAAGAATATCAACAATCGAAAGACTAAGTTGCAACTATCTAAACCCCAAAACCACTACATCTGATATATGATCTCTCGATAAACATACGAGATGGAATTATCCTCGGTCTCCCTATCAATATAATCGAACTCTTACTCCTAGGATCAAAATGTCAGTCAAGTCGTACCTATGGACACTCATATACCTCATGCTCAATCTAACTACATTGAAAGCACTAAACTATCATCCTATATCAATGACCTAAGTGTCTCCTACCACAACTCAGACAAACATGTGTCCCACTCATAAGACCTCAAGAATTTTTAATATTGCCACCACCATGAGTTAAAAATAGATGATTTTCCTCTCTTAGTCTCCATAATCGAACCTGGTCCTCTTCCCAAAGAAGCTACTACCAGAAGCCTCATCATTAAACCTCTTCATGCTAGCAACCTAGCGCTGACGAGTAGTTGATAAATCATTCTCAATCAGATGAGCCCTCTCTACTTAATCAGAGAAATAAGAAATATGAAATGATACCAATGTATGCATCAAATTATCATAGAGCCCTCTTAGAAACCTGTAACACTTTTTCCTCGAAAGTGTTAATCAACTGCAAAATGTAATTGGCTAGGGTAGTGAACTTTGCCTCATATTGTATAATTAATCTACTCCTCTGAACTAATCTTAAAAAATTCTTATGCATCTACTATCGTGTAGAAGAGGTACAAACCCCCATTTAAAACCATATGTAAACTCCTCTCAACTAATTAGGAAATTTAACATTCCCTAGAACTTTTCCTTTTATTGGCCCATCCATCAGCTCTCAACCTCTCCATCTAAAAAAAATATAGTCAGAGGCATCTTCCTCTAAAGAGGACACTGCATCTCATCATAAGTCTTCTCTAAATTTATAAGCCAGTCCATTGCTGCTCTGGGCTCATCAACTCCCTCAAATCTTAGAGGTTTTAATCTCAAAAATATTTGTAAATGTATATTTACATCACTGGATTGAATATAAGAGATCGTGTTATGGGCCTCGCCCATCAGCTATGCCTAGACTAGCAAACTAAGAAATTGAATTAGAAATGACAACATGAATGGTACTCTACACTAGCAATGCCTAGCTGGGAATTTTCCCATCACAAATATTGGGATTTTATGGTTCCATCAGATAATCACACAGAACACACGAGTAAACCAAACAAGCACATGAAAATAAAATAAAATAAATGTCCTAACACTACCCAAAACTATAACACTTAACTACATATTAATTCTTATAGCTCTATTTATAATTAATCACCCAAAATTATTATTCTGATACCAAAAGGGACTATTACAACTCAACCTAATATGACTCAAAGACATAACTTGTCATATTGTGTTGAGTAGTGACAAACCAAGTCCAATAAATAAGCTTATCCATAATATTTTTCTATTTTATTCAATCATATATATATATATATATATACACACACACACACACACACACACACACTACAACACGTGGCAATAGACTAAAAATAAAACATAGTAGAGAATAATCATGACTGTACAAAATTAGAAAATAAAAACTTATACCTAAAAAACCTAAAAGATCATATCTTGGATCTCCAGCTCCTCAATTGGCTCCTTACCCTTTCCCTAACCTAAGTAGAATTCAAAATATGTGTGAGCCAACATAGCTTAGCAGGTCACACCCACCGATTTAAAATTTTAATAATTAATGCGTTGTGCATGTAACTAAATTTAAAAGCAGTTATTAATATGCTACTAACTGATTAGAGTAATGTTAGTAAATAATATAGATTAAATAGACTTTGCACTATAAATAAATAAATAAGTACTTCATATATCAAAATAGAAAATAACAAATTTTCCTTAGGCCATTATGCCTCCCATCAGAAACATATATCATAATTTTGACCCTTATGACTCTCTATACTAAAATATCAAAAAATATACCCTTATGACTAACAAATACACAACACATTAGTTACTAAAAAAATTAGATCTGTATGACTCTCTATGCATTCAACACAACAGAACTTCCTCTAATATTTTATTTCTTTAGAATCACACATTTCAAGTAGATAAGCACATATATATAATTCTATTTTAATTAAAATAAATAGAAATAAGCAAATTATAGAAATTTCCAAAATATACTGTTGGTAAATAATAGATTCAACAATTGAGAAGAATTTTAGGTTTTAAGAATTTCACCATATTACTATATATCGATTAAACACTATTTTGAGGCTTTAAATAATCTAAAACATTTTTTTAAGATCATAATCATTTTTCAATTCATAAAATAAGATCACACTTTTTTATTTACTTGTTTTGTTTTTAAAGAAAAATATTAAAATACTATGAATAATCATATCTATAATTTACAAAAAGTTACACGGTGAAAGTTTAATTTATATAAAACTATCCATATTTCTACACTATGAAATCATTATTTTAATTAGAAAAAATATCAAAACTTTATATTTTTGAAAACTAAGATAGAATATAACCTACATTATTCCGGACAACTTCTCAAACTAGACTAACATTAGAAAATAGATATAAGCAACCAAAAATCAATTCTCTCTATACAATTTCTCTCTCTCTAAACCAACTGGGGGGGGGGGGTAAATTTGGTTTTTGCCAAATGAGAAAATAGTATAAATGAATATTTTTATAAAATTTTGACCAGATGTTGTAATGCCCCCTTTATTTTTTTGAAAAAAAAAAAGAGCTCAATCCCATAGAACCACTTGCGTTGGCATAATAGCATTCCCAATGAAAAAAAATTAGATTTTTTATTCATGCACACAAAACTCTCAGGACATGCTTCAGAATTATTTTAGACATTAACATGTATACAAAGAACACTCATGGACACATGCAAGAGGTAGATGTGCAGAAATTTTATTACATTACTCTTACCACATCAAGTTAAAATGGGTGCAACGACATATCATTTTATGTTTGAAACTAATTTGAACAAGGTTCAAACAAGATCCATATCATTTTGGTCCATTAATTAAATATTCCAAACATGTTTGAAACTAATTTGAATAAGATTCAAATCATTCACACCATTAGTTGACATATTTCTTGGTTTACTCTTGATACATTATTAAAAGATTTCTTAATCGGGCATGAATCTCGAGGCAAAGTTGAATCAGAAACTTCAAAAATTAATTTCGGGACCATTCAAACTCTGATTTTAGCAAACTTATAGTCGAACTAAACATCTCAAAAAACAAACCCAACATCACCAAATTCGATCCAATCTGAGCCCAAATGGGTCCGAAGCACATTTAGAGGGTTCAAATCATAAACTGGATAACCAAATAACATCCAAATGGGACATGCTTATAGTGAATTTGAGCGTCTCTACAAGACAAATCAAATAAGCCTGACCACCCGGTATCACCCAACTATGGTCTTTTTGACCTTCGTCGCCAGCCTACTACGGTCATTTTGACCACTGTCACTAGACAACTTTTTTTCAAACCTATATCACCCATCGACTATGGTCTATCTTACCAACATCTCCAAACTGCGATCTCTTCGATCACTATCACCTGACTAAAGTCTTTTCGACCTCCGTCGCTCATCTACTACGGTCCTTCCAACCACCATCACTCGACTACAGTCTTTCTGACCTCTATCGCTCGACTACAGTCTTTATTACCATCGTCGCCCACTGATTATGCTCCTTCAAGCCTCTATCACCAGAAAATGGTATTTCTGCCCATTGTCGCCCACTGATTATGGTCCTTCTGACCTCCATTACTTGACTACAGTATTTGCAACCTCCATCATCCAAATACGGTTCTTCCGATCAACTCCACCCGACTAAGGTCTTTCTTACCACTATCGCCCGCAGACTACAGTCCTTCCGACCTCCATCGATGGATAATGATCATTCTAACCATTGTCGCCAATTGATTATGGTCCTTTTAACCTGCATCGCTAGACAACAATCTTTGTAACCATTATCACCCATCAACTAGAATCCTTCTGACCTCTATCACGGGACAACAATCTTTCTGACCATCATTGCCCGTCGACCACGATCTTTCTGTCCTTCATTACCTGACTACGATCATTTTTACCTATGTCATCCAATTATGGTCATTCCGACCACATTTGCCCAAGTAAGTTCTTTCTGACCTCTATTGCTAGATAACAGTCTTTCTAACCATCGTCGTCCATCGACTATGATCCTTCTAGCTTTTGTCGTCAGACAATGGACTTTCGGACTTCTATTTCTCGTCAACTATGGTCATTCTGACCTTCGACTCCAAATAATGGTCTTTTTGATCTCCATCATTGGCCTACTACAGTCCTTCTGACCACCATCATTGAAAAATGGTATTTCTGACCACTGTCACCACCTGAATACGGTCCTTCCGACCTCTTTTCAGTCAATTATGGTCTTTCTAACCTCCGTCGTCCAATTACACTCCTTCCTACCACCTTCACATGACTAAGGTCTTTTCGATCTTTATAATCCTTCCGAACTCCGTCGTTAGACAATAGTATTTTTAACCATTGTTAGTCGCTGACCACTATCCTTCCAACCTCTGTTGCCAGACAATGATCTTTTTTACCTCCATCGCTCGTCGACTATGATTCTTACGGCCTCTGTCACAGATAGCGGCCTTTCTGACCTCTGTCGCTCGCCCATTATGGTTCTTTTAATCTCTATCGTCAAACAACGCTCTTTTAAACATTGAGCTATATTTGAACAAATAAAAGTATAAAAAATATTTATTCAAATTTTTTAAGTTTAGATCAATTAAGATAAATTCTCTAAACTTTCAACTAACAGATAAAAAATGAGATGCTTGTATAGTTGTATATATCAGTTTTTTTTAGTACTTCAACCAAAACAAACAGCCCTAGGAGGAGAGTTCGTGAGATTTCGTCAGATTTCACTTCCCTCGCTTCTCTCGCTTCTCTCGCTTCGCGCCACTTTTTTCGAGAATAGAATCCGAGCCCAAGTGAGAGAATAAAACCCCCAGCCCGGAGGCGGAGTCTGGGAGTGAGAAAGGAAGGCCCGATCTGGAAGGCGAAGCATCGCATACTGCCTTTAGAACTTCCAGGTATTCAGCATTCAAAACTTCTGTAGTTTGCTATTTTTAGCTTGTACTTTTGGGATCCGCTACCTTGGGAGTTTATTCTTGTTTTTCTTCTGATCTTATACTATTTTGAGGGCTTTGTTTGGAATTTTTATTTATGAGGAATTACAGTCTTATTTTTCTTTTCGACCTATCAATTTTTCTAAGCTCGCATGGTTGCTGTTTGCAAGCGAGGGTTTTATATCCTGAATTGTTCTTTTCGGGAATGGGGTTAGAATCAGGAGAAATTAGTCATCAAATTCATCGGGACTGTGAGTGTATACACATATTAATTTGAAAATTTATGTGTACAAATGTGCACACAGTATGTACACTTATATATCCGAATTGTTCCCATCCGGATTTCGCACAGTATAATTTCTCTACAAATAGGGCCTAGTTTGTTTTTGCCGGGATGGTCATATATCCCTCTTTGGGCCTGTTTGGATACAACTAGGATTTAATTTAAGTAGGATTTTGTGAATTTTTAAATTCAGATTTACTAAAATCTGAGAATGTTAAATTTTGAAAATTGTTTGGAAATATTATTCAGATTTTAAGTATGATATTTATATTTTAAATGTGAGTTATTTATTAATTTAGTTAATATTAATAAATTATAATTATAAATAATATAATTAAAAATTAATTTAATTATCTAATAATTTAGCTAATGATTTAAATACTAATTATCAAATTATTTATTTAGATGTTATCTTAATAAAAAGTTAATGCTAATAATTATTATTATTTTAATATAATTAATTATTTTACGTATCATATAAAAATTAATCATTTAAAGTATTTAACTACTATTTAATATGTTTTGATTATTAATTATATTAATAATTATTTAATTAATTAGTAAAATATTTTGTTACTAACTAAATTTTTAAATTAATATTTATATTTTAATTATCTAATTATTTATTTATATTTCAAAATATAACCTATTGAATTTAGCTTGAGTTGTGTGGAGAAGCGCGGTTGGTAACCCCAAACCTACGCTGTTCACAACCCATGCTTGGTTCCTCTCTCAAGCGGCGGGGGGTTGATGCTAGGCTCACCGACAGCAGGTAGATACCCCGTTCCAAAAAATATAAAATTCAAACTATATGATTAATTATTTTAATATTCTTTGGCCACTTTTTCGCTCTCCATTTTTTCGTTGCTGTCGTGTGAAGTGGTGTTCTGAAAGTGTCTCTTTGAGCTTCTCTACCTCCGACGGCGTTGTTGATATTCTGATTCGCGTGAAGTGTATTTCTAAAAGTGTTGCTTTGAGCTTTCTCCACCTCCGACGACGTTGCTTTTCGGCTTCGCGTGAAGCTTCTCCGCCTCTGATGATTACGTTGTTGCTGTCGGATAGGAAGTCGCAACGGGAGCTCACTGCGAAGTAATGATATTTCTTCCTCTTTGCTTGTTTCTTGGCTAAATCCGCCAAAATGTCGGATTTGTGAAATCCGGGAATTTAGGGAAAAAGTGCTGAAAATGTCGTGAAGTAGATCTAGACTTACCTTGAGATTTAACTTTGCGTTTTTTTGGTGTTTGGCAGGATTTAGCTCAAATCTTGTCTAAATCCGGCCTAAATCCTGCTCCCAAACAGACCCTTTAAAAGCTTCATCTAAGATAATTAATGTTGTCCTAAATGATGAATTTTTTTTATCAAATTTGATGCTGAACTGATTAAGAAATCAAAGGTCCGCTTTGTATTTGGATATATATAATGTTTCAAATAGTTTTCAAAATGGAATTTACCTTGAAGGTTACTGTTCTAATTTCTGTATTGTTGCCACACCTTGGAAGGTAGTAAACCTCGATAACTGGGACATCCTGAATTAACTTAATTATGGCATAACCCAGGAGTTTGTATTAAGTAAGATAATTTTTTTTTTGCTTAAATAGAGGAATCCACAACTAACAATAATTAAGAATGATAACACGAGCATTGAGATATAGTTTCTTTTGTGAAAGTGAAACCACCACAAGCTATTTAAAAAAAAATAAAAAACGAGCTTTTCAAGACAGAAATTTGAAGGAAATACTAATACAAAGGCATCTAATGCCTTCCTCCACCGAATGTTTGATGAGTTGCACCTATGGAGGTGGTCTCATTGATCAAACTGGTTGAATCTGCATTAATATCAACAAGTGAGCTTGCAAAGCAAACACAAAAGGATAACTCCTACTTTTTAAGGTTTAAATGAAATGTAGGGACTAGGGGTCTTTGAAAAATTTCATCTCAATAAGAAGATTTATTGCGTACAAGATATTAAATAATCTTTAACAACTTCAATCCTTATAGAAATTAGCTTCCAAAAATATTTTATCATCATGATCCATAACATTTACGAAATAGGCCAAATATTCAAAAACATAATCTCCATCCTTCCACTTGTTATTAAAGAAATTCAAAAAAGATTCCTTTTAAATATTGCACTGATCTGTCAAAAGAAAGACCATTACCAACTCCAAAATTGAGAAGATAGGGTGGTTTACTATTAAAGCTTCATGTAGATTCAGCCTAACATGATGGAAGATCTCACATCCGACCCGGACGTGTTAGTTTTTTGATAAACTATTTCATTAGCGTGAAACATTTATGTGTCATAAAGTTTGCATACATGGTGATTTATCAATCTTCATATACATATGCAAAAGCATGTAACTACTGATGAACTATTAATGATATTCAATTAGGAGACCCATCCATAAGCAAGGCCATCTAATGTTAGAGAGTGAATCAAAAGAGTATCGAAGTTGGGCTAGATACATTAATTGTTAAAATCATTTTCAATTTAAAAACTGAAATTTATTGATGATAGCTAATTGCTCGATATTTTTCCATTTATTGGTGAGTGCTAAGTGCTAACTAGGCAATTATTCAAATAATGGTAAATCTTTGCTTTATTCTTGTTCTTTGATTAACCTGATTTTTATGTAGCATAATCTACTAATTCAGGTTCCATTAATTATTTTTCTCTAGCAGTCTATCTTCACTCCAACTTAATAGAGTTCTATACTTTTTATCATATAATGCCTTAGAGCGAGCTATTTGAATACTAGATTGATAATAATTGTTGTAAGCAAATTAGATCATTGAAATGTAATCTTCCTTGCTATCACCAAAATCCAATACATATAATCTTAATAATTTTCTTAAACTTGAATAATTCTTTCATATTGGCTATTAGTCCATAGATGAAGAAACTATACTAAGATGTAATATTATTCCCAAATTTTGTGAATGCTATTGCCTAATTTAGAAGTAAAATTATCTATCTCTGTCAGATACTATCACTTTCAAAATATCATGTAATATGATAATTTCTTTTATATATGGTATTTTTAATTTCTCCATTGAATTTATTTGCTTGATAGACATAAAGTGAGCATGCTTGGTTAATTTGTCAATTATCATCCAAATATAATTATAACCTTGTATAGATTCGGAAAATCCTGAAATCCATTGTGATTTCTTCCCACTTCATTTGGGATTTGTAATGTTTGTAATGGCCCACTTAGTCTTTGATGTTTACCATTATAATTTGATAGATTTTATGTTTGGCTATATACTCACCTATTTCCTTTTTCATGCTTGGCTACCAAAGTAATGACTTCAAATTCTTTTTCAATTTTGTACTTTCTAGATGAATGCTAAATATCTTGCCTCAATTCAGCATCACTCGGTACCCATAGACATAGCTTAGTTTTTAATGGTCTTCATTAACAGTGGTATCTTGCCTCTTTCTTAAATGAATTGCTTATTAGCTTTTGATATTGATTGCTAGCTTTCTCAGCTTCATTGATTCTATCTATTCAAGTTAGTTTCACAATCATTTGATGTGACACATCAACATCATTAAATTTTTTTATCTCTAATTACAAAACTTCCATTTCTTTAATTAATCCAAACTCTTGAGTAATCATCAAATTTTCCATACTTGTGGATTTTCGACTTAAGGCATCAATTACTACATTTGCTTTTTAGTGGCTATATTGAATATTAAGATCATAGTTTTTGATGATCTTCTGATAAGGACATCCATAGGAGATTTCGGCACACATACCATCGGAGGGGTCGTCGAGCGACGGCCTTGATTCATAGTCTTTATTTTTTGATATTTTATTTTATTCATGTCATTTATATTTCATGTTTTCCATTTGTACCCCTATGAGGGAGTTAGTGCTTGTTGTAGCCCAAGGGCAATGTCGTCTCTATGCTTTTTATTTTCGGTTGGCCTATATATAGGCTTAGTCATTGTATTTGAGTTAGTTTTGGATGAAATGAAAATTTGCTTTATGTTCTCTTTGTGAGTTCATCTCTCTCTCAAATCTCTTAGTGAGTTTTGGGAAGAGCTAGATCTCTTTGTGAGTTCTAAACCTTCTTCCCCATTGTCTTTGTGATCAATTAGTGTGAGAAATCAAGGTGAATCCGTCCGTGATTTTTCTCGTTCTTAAGCTTCCTTCCCATGACCCTCTCTACCAAGCATCCCCGCCGCCCATCCCTGTCAAACTGCCGGCCACCAGCAGCCCAGCCACCCGCAGGCCTGCAGTCCTTGCCGTCGCCTCCCCCCTAACCTGCCCAGACCGCCGGCCACCAGGCCGCCGCCTCCCGCCGGCCCTCCACCCGTCGCCTCCCCCCTAACCCGCCGCCTCCCTCCATGGGGTTTGAAATTTGAAATTTCAAATCTCCCCATGAGACGTAATTAACTTTCCTAAATTAAATCCCTGATTTTTGGCAATCTTCCTTATTGTATTTCCATCCAATTTTGAAATTCAAATCAATTCAATTGAGTGCCATGCATTAGGTAACTTTTCATCTTAATTGAAACCTGAAATTTCCGTTCAGGTTTTGATTAAAATCTGTGATTAATTATGGGCCCCATTTGAGTTAATACCAAGTCTCTCTCTCTCTCCCTAGGGCCGACCACCTCTCCCTTATTGTTTTCTATTTAATTTCCACATCACCACCTCTTAATTACCTC